GCTACTTACTGAAAAAAGTACGGGCCTGTTTCAAAAGAACATCGCACAGGACTAGTAGGTCCTAATTTACGAAATAACATTTTAGCTTGATTTTGGTAGTCTAAGATACTACGTCCAGACTGTAAAAGATATTTAATGTATTAAAGATGATGAAATAATATGACAGTAAACACAAAACACTTTACAGACAGAAAGAAAGAACATGGTAGTCCAGCACAGAAATGCTTGACTATGAGTCTAAACACAACTGTGGTTTGAGTTTAAAAAATACATAGATATTAGGAAGAACGTCACATTTTTGACAGATTTCCTGTCAAAAAGTATCTAACCTGTTCATCTTCTTGCATTGTTGCTGCAAGAGGAAGACCGTCTGCTACTCGAGCTATCATTGTCATCAACACCATTTTTGAACAGTTATAAGAACACAATCACAAAAGATGTACTCAGATATTAGACCCCAAATGTCATGCACCCAGAAACAATACGGGAAACTATTTGAAAACCGTGTTGGTCTGTTAAAAAGCCGCTAGATAAAACTTGCAATCACTTTACGTTACACGTCATGCCAAAACCCAACTGTCAGGCAGAGAAAAGACTGATTTTCTTTGTTTGCCGTCCCTTTAGTATTAGAATTGCAGTACGAGACCTGTCTTTACAGTGCTTAATTAACAAAGATTTGAGCACATAAAGTGCATTATTGTATCTTTACAATTTTCAGAAAGCCACGAGATAAAATCAAAACGTTCGATTTCGCCTTTTGAGTCGTTTTTACTTCAAACCAGTTGGTACACTGCCACATTCCCTGCCTAGTGCGGCTCCGGGTTCGTGTCGCCTTCGGCTAACTCCGCCGCCCTTCGTGTCGCTCGACGAGGTTCGGCTCGCGTTCGGCTTGCGTTCGGCAGTCTGCCGTCGGCACGAAAACAGGTGAAGCCAGCAAGCAGAAGCAGACCGCTCTGGCTCTGGCAGCAAGCACAGCACAGCAGTGTGTTTTGTGTTGTTCCCGGATTCAGTTCGTGCGAGTTGCGTCCGCGTCCGCCGTGTGTTGTGTTGTGTTTGTGATTGTGAGTGCAGTGCAGTGATCAGTATTCGAGTGAGAGTGCGACTCGGGGACCAGGAATACCCTATCGTCGCCGTCTCGACGTTTTCAAGGTGAGCGCCCAGCGCCCAGCTCCTCCAGCCGCTCGAGGCGTCTGAACCTCTCCGTGCCGTGCGCCCGCCCGCCGTGCCACTCATTCCAATGATTCTGGGCCCCGCGGCCGGCCGCCGAGGCCCCCGGCGTGCTGTCAAATATTTTATCGACCCGGCACCCTGGCCGTGATCCCGTCTTTCAGTCATGATTTCGTCCCTGTCGCGGAGAACGTTTGTTTGCTCGCGTCGGGGCGACCACCGCCATTGCTAGTGGCTCCCCTCGGCTGTGCTGCTCGGCCCCACCGGCCCTCCGCCTCCGCCCTCCGCCTCCGGCCCTGCGTGTATTTGGGCCTCTCAGGCCCAGCAAGGATCCTTTGTGAATAGGTGATTGGGGTCGACATGAGCGTGGGCGGGCTCATGGGGTAGCTCAGGAGGCCCCCTCAGTGAAGTGCAGAATTTACTTTGTCTTGTTACTCAGACATTTCTTTGGTACTGATAGATTATAGGTTTGACATTGGTTTTGTGTTGTAAAATTATTTGGGTTTGGCCTGTTAAACTAACTGAAGTTTTTGACCTTAATCAATGAGAAGTTCTTAAACATGTGCCACAAATTGTTATCAACTCCAGGAACGTGATAACCATTTATTTGTATTGAAATCTTAAAAATGACTCATTGTATGAATGTATGAATGAAACATTTGTGGTAATATCCATCTATGCTTCCGTACAATTTTTTGGCTGTCCGTCTTTTTATTCAAATTTATTCAGTCCAAATAATTATCCTTTTAACATAACTCATTACCGCTTTGTTATTTTTTATTTTTACCTAATGTCCATGACGATCCTCTGTAATGGGCATGGATGTTGAATTAATTTTCCCTCTCATCATTATTTTCGCCTGCTCTGGATTATCTCAAATTGCACTCAATTGCAGCCCTGCCATCCCACCCACCCGCCACCCCTTCTTCCTCTGCCGCCTTCACTCCCATCACCCCACCCCCCTCCACCTCTGCTCCTTCCGGATCACCGAGTGTCAAAGCCGCTGTAGCTCTCTGCGCGCCGGAAGCCGGGAACGGCAGCAGAAAAGCCGCTTTCCCAGTGCAAAAATTGAACCGCCTCTCTCGTTGCTTTTGCTGGTTGTACTACGCGCTCCGCGCTCAACTCCCCAGCAGCAGCCGGCATGGCTCAGGCTGGGGGCTGGAAGAGGGGAGGCGGGGGTTGAATCCGTGTGTCGGTACGGGGCTCCTTTTCAGGGGACTGGGGGCGGGGCGCGGCGGCCCCATGTGTGCGCAAGGCGTGCAGGGAGGGGAGCGGAGGGAGGTACAGTCTGATCAAGAAGTGCGGTGCATGCCGGGGTGCAGTTAGGTGGGCGCGGCTACGCCTTATCGGTCACGTGATCGGCCAAGTGTCGTCGTCCTGTCTGTCCGCCCGCCCGCCTGCCTGGTGGTGGTGGTGGTGACATTTTTCTCTTATTATATTTTTTCTTGTAGCGGCGTCGGGCGACGGCAGGTACATGGGGGGCCCTGGGGACGCGTCGCGTCCTGCCCCTGGCCGCCCGCCCGCCGGGTGCCGGTGGGGCTCAGCGTCAGGCGCCCGTCGTTGCGTCGCTCATCCCCCGAGCGTGACAGTCTGACGGGCTGGACCGGGAGGGAACCGGAGGGAGGGGACTAGCATCGACGGATTTTCTCCATTCCTTGTAACTCTTATTTTTTTGTGGTAGGCCGGCCGCCTCTGGCGGAGGTGCTCTTCTGTCCACGTGGTGTCCACGCCTCGCCAGGCTTCCCATGTCCATCCCGCTCCAGCCTGTACCGCCCCGCCCCGCCCCGCCCTGCCCGCGGCTGCTTCAAAGCCACCGCCGGGCCATGCCGTGTTGCTCGGAAGCCTGCCCAGCGTGTTTGTGTCTTCTCCCCCTTCCTTCATGGGAATCCTAGAACGGGAACGGAACGGAATAGATGGGATGAGAGTCGGCGTTTTACGAGTCCAGCGGGACCACCGGGTACGGTCGGTACGGGTGGGTCCGGCTGCTCCAGCAGGCAGGGTGTGCTGGGCGCGGCGCGGCGGCGGCTCCGAGAGGGCAGCGACTCGACTCGACTCTCCACCACCCCCGCGCACCGGCCGGGGGCGGGGCGGGGCGGAGGTCGTAAGTTGCGCCGTGCCGCCGCCACCCCATCCCCACCGTGATGCTGATGCTGCGGCCGGCCGGGACCAGCACCAGCCTGCTCTCTGACTGTTGTCTCGCGTGGCGAGCGGAGCTGATTCAACTCGGAGTGGAAAGGGGGAGAGGGAGGGAGGTGTGGAGGGGCAGTGCCGCATTCAGCACAGCACGGAGTTGGAGGGAGGGGTCGTTCTGCATCAGTCATCCACCTCGCAGGGATGACGACGACGAGGCACGGACACTAAAGGCCGTCCATAGCGGCGGCAAAAGGCGGCCTACCACCCCGCACCTTCTCTTCCCCTCTCTCCTCCCTGTTGCTGCTGCTGCTCCTCGTGCTGATGCTGCTGGCTTTTTAGGGTGGAAATTTAAAAGTTTTATCGTCTCGTCGTAAAACAAACATGCGCGGAGCGGTAAACATACTTCGTCGATATTGCAGGGGGGGCGGGCGGTGTCGCTTCCAGCGCTTCCGGCCCGCGCGGAGGTGAGGCCGGAGCGGCCGTGTTTACCCTGGCTTTGCCTGGGCGCGATATTGGGGAGCTGAAAGCTGCCACGCCGAGCCACGCCACGCCGTGCTTCGATAGGCTTCGCCCCCCTAACGTCTGAGTCCACTCCCCTTCCCCTTTCACCACCGCCAGCTATTATAGTGCTCTGGCGACGAGACTCCCCCTCCTCTCCCTCCCCCTACGACCCGCCAAAAGCTTTTGTCTCTAGGTAATATACACCTCGTGTGTGCTGCTCTGTTGTAGTAGTTCCTCTTCTGCCCTGCCCTGCTTTCTTTGACTGCTAGGAATTCCTCTTTTACCTCTTCACGATTTATCGATGTTGTTTTTCCCCTCCCGATCTTTTTATTCTTGTGGTCGTGGTCGTCTTGTCTTCGCCGTTCTCGTCGTCGTCCTTGTATCCCTCGTCGCCGTCCTCCTCGTCATCATTTTCATCCTTCTCCGCGTCGTCGTCCTCGTCATCCTTTTCCTCGCTGTCCTCCTCCCCCCCCCCCTTTTCTCCCGTTAGTCGACTTGCGCCCCCGAGTGGCGCGACGCGACGGCGGGTGAGTGTTTGACGGCCTCAACGGCGGCGGCGCCGGGGCGCAAGGGCGTGGCGGCGGCCGCCACCCCTCCCGGCCTTTGATGCTGGGGGCTCGGGAGAGAATGGTGTGGGGCCCCTCCGCACGTATTTATTGTCGTGATCAGAAGGGGCGTATATTGATTCCTCGCAGTTGCAGGGGCCCCCACGCCACGCCGCAGTCGGGGAGAAGGAATGAGAGCCCCTTTACACCGGTCTCACTCCGTCTCACTCTCACGCCCTGCCCGTTTGGCGCCCAAACTTTTTCCCTCCCCGAGTGTTCTGCCCCTGGCCCGGCGCCCAAACTCTTGTACTCCTGCACCTGGTCGGGTCCGCGTGTCCGGGACGCTATGCTCTGCTGCCTCGTGTGGAGGCGCCGGGCGCCTGGCGCCCCCCCCACCCGGGCGTGATTGGCCTTCCTTATCCACTCTTTGACCCTAGACGTCGTCTCTCTAGCTGGCTCTATGAGCTGGCTGCTGGTGCTGCGCGCTCTAACAAAGGAACGGCTGGCGCGGCGCGGCGTGGCTCGGCGGTCAAGTGCCGGGACGTGGCCACAATGCCGAGGGGGGCCCCCGCGCCGGCCCCCCGCGCCCCACGAGGCAGCAAGAAGCGCGCGCGCCTGACGTCAGCCTTGTCGTCGTGACCCACAAGCAACCCCCTGGTGGTGCTTGTCCGGCCCGCCGGGCCCCGCCCCGACCGGGAGTTAATTTGCAGATCCTCTTGTGTCCTCCTCCATCCCTTCCTCTTCCTCCTCTCTCGTGCTGCTGGGCGAGGCGCTGGGCCTGGGCCAGGGCGTGTGGACGACTGCGGACATGACCTGGGTCCCGAGGGTCAGGAGTGAGGCGGCGCGCGGCCGCGCGGACGGCGTTAGGACGACTGCGGACATGACCTGGGTCCCGAGGGTCAGGAGTGACAACTGCGGACATCGCGAGCGGGAGGGCGTGTTCTTCGAACGCGGCCGGCCGACCGGCTGGCCGAGTGTGACAACTGCGGACGTCCATGACCGACGGGTTGCCTACCC